ACTGTCACCTTGCTCTCAGCACCCTGATCACCGTCACCTTGCTCTCAGCACCCTGATCACCGTCACCTTGCTCTCAGCACCCTGATCACCGTCACCTTGCTCTCAGCACCCTGATCACTGTCACCTTGCTCTCAGTGCCCTGATCACTGCCACCCTAATCTCAGCACCCCAATCACCCGCCACAGTGCTCTCAGCCCCCCCCTCACCCGCCACCCTGCTCTCGGTGCCTCACAGATGTGTTGGATCCCTGCATTCCTCCCAGCACCTCTGCATATCTTAGGAACTTGGGAAGCTGCGCTCCAGTTTCAATCATTTTGATTAGCTGAGGTCCAGGATAGTTTGCTGATCCTGAATTACATTTGAACTGGGAAGTCGGAATGTCCTAGTTCCTAGTTGGAAACTTCAATTGTTATGCCCCCTGAAGTCAGAATTCTGACTCGGAAAGTCCAAGAAATCTCTGCAACCCCGACCTCAGAATTCAAGATGGCTGCACCCTTTATCAACAGAAGATAAAGCTGTAGTTTTATACTGTTTATTAGCACTTATGTTTTATTTGTGTCTCATTAAATTGGTTGGACACACAGTCCTGTCCAGCCACTATGAATGGACAAGTTGATGTGGTGTTTGTAAGCGCAAAATACTGCATAATGCATCTTCATCAATTGGTATTGCTAACAGTGAATCTGACTATAACTGGTATTGCTAAATGACTTTCTGATTTATTGTACTGGTACACGCCTAACTCTGGTGTGATGTAATTCCCAGCTCCGACAAACTTTTAAATCTCAACTAAATCCACTGATAAAGTTGTGGCCTAACAGGTGTAAACTGAAGCCTCAGATGTGATGTTTTGGGGGTGGAGGGGCAGGCGGCCTCATGCACGACACACCCCCCAGACCATGGGGGTACTGATGACACCACAACTCCTCCTGGGGCACAATGACAAAGACAGAAAGGCGACACCATGACAACACATGCATGAGTGACACCATGAGACCATGTGACACCTTTAAATGTCACCTGCTGCCATCTGAACAGTTTCCCAAAACTGGCTGATTTGTCATTTCATAGAAACCCATTGAAACTCACATACCCCACTGCCAGTAACAGCGCGCTGCCTGAACACAGTGTCACCCTGTTCAGAGGAGCACCAATCTTGTCCCGCTCTCAGCCCCGTTCCGAGGAGCACCAATCTTGTCCCGCTCTCAGCCCCGTTCCGAGGAGCACCAATCACTGCCCTGCTCTCAGCCCTGTTCCGAGGAGCACCAATCACTGCCCTGCTCTCAGCCCTGTTCCGAGGAGCACCAA